ATCATTTTATATAACAGTATGCAATATTCTGTATTAGCAAAAATTAGTTATTTGATATTTTACTTAGTAAGTTACTTTAATAATGTTCAAAAATAATATGTGATGACTTTATTTAAATTTTTATTTTTATTGCTTAAAAAACATTCGATTTTGTAACTATCTGATTTAATGTTATAGTCAAAATTTTTAACTATTTTGTTATTTAATTTAATGTACTTTCAACATTTTAAACTAATTTGTATTAAATAAGTACAGTTTTTATCAAAAGTATGTAAAATTTTGTAACAATTAGAATGGATTTCTTAATTGATCAGCTCTGTAAAATGAGTTAACTCGTTCTGTAACTTTGCATGGCAGATGCTCAGTTCAACATATTGAGGTTTCACTGTATTTCCATCTAGGTGTCCACGTTCCGTTGGTCACTCACCTGTATTTCGAGTAAAAGTTCCTGCCTCTTGCGGCGCAGCTCAATCAGCAGTTTCTGCTGCTCCGGCGTTAGTTCTGCAAACAATAAAACCAATAACAGTAATAATTGAGTTGTTTTTCTTTGATTTGTTCAATTTTATTTGGTTAATTGGAACGAAGCAGCAGCAACAAAAACAACAACGAAAGCAGCATTCCAGGCACACGCATGTAAACACACCCACATTCACATACATACACATGCAGCAAAAGAGAGTGCTGCACTCGCTGCGTGCGCCAGAGCGAGACGGCAGCTGCTCGTGACGTAGCCAGAAGCTTTGGCCTAATCAATAAACAATTTACGTTTGTTAGCGCTTCTTCGCCTTTCGCTGTTCACTGGCCAACAACAAACACGCAGCACAATGGGTGGCTAATTGTGCAAATTGACTTATTAGCGTTAATTCGGTTCTACGGATTAAATTCGATTGAAGGCCAGATTGAAGGCCAGAAAAAAAAAAAAAAACACACAGGCACGCACAATGCACACACACAGACACGAATGTTGCTTGTTGCTTCGCTTGAATTTTTTGTGTTTTTAAAAGCTGGAGACTCGCCCTTTTGTTTTCTTTTCAGGGTATATACTATATTATATATATAGTATACCATATATTGAGCAAACGGCTGTGTTTACCTGGCATCGAGAATTCACTGCGCCCCTTTGAAATGGCTCCGTACGATCTGTTGTCAAAATTGTCCATTGCGCTGATCATTGTGGCGCCACTGAACACACACAGACTCACACACACACTCGCGGACACGGCGCGCACTTTAGTTGTACATTATTCGCCAGCGATTGGCTAATTTCAGGCGCTTTTCATTGAACAATTCTAGGGCGAGCGGATAATAAACAAATCAACACCAATAAATTCTATCGCCATTTTCTTTCAGCTCTCCACTAGAGATGTGCCGAATACCGATGCACGGCCAATCGGTTATCGCTGGAATACCAAATTAAATACTGCAAAAATACCAGTTGCTAGCTGACAGAAGCTGAGTGTTGGGCAGTGGACTAGGTGGCAACGTTTTATAATAATGGCATATTTCCACTGATGCTTTCGCATTTTCTACAACAACCTTTTTTAATATGTCCTGAATATTTATATTTTCTTTAACAAAATATTAGCTGACTAAGCAATATAATGAACAACCTTTATTACACTAAAAGGCTAGAGATTTTAGAGAAATTGCTGCTTATATCTCGCCGTTTAAAACACGTATTTAAAGCACTTTAAAAAGACCTTTTATTTCAAGTGAGTTATGGAAGAATACTTTTAATAATAATTGAGCCAGGCTTATCATTGTATTTCCGCAAGAAAGCGTTTTAATTTTACTTCCGACAATATTTTTATTAATAAAAACCAACGCCTTCTGACAAAAGTACATTGCTACTTACAATTTGCTACAAGGTCTAACAAGGTTTCAAGAACTGATAGCAAATAACAAGTCAAATATTGCCTTTGCTATTAAATAAAACATTTAAAACAATATTTTTTTTTTTGTTCTCTATAAAAGTAAAAAAATATATTTCCTTAAACCTTATTTGATTTATATTATAATAAAGTGGCAACTCTGCCAACATATGTTCAAGAACCGCGAACATAAAATACCAACAAAAATACCACAAGCCGAAAACTCAATTACTGCTAGTAACTTAAAAAACAAATAAATATACGCTTAATCACATGCTTTTTGAGCATAACTTGTGTCAGTAAACTGTCGAGAAAGGAATAACTCACACACAATAACTTTTCCCAAGCGGCACATAAAGCAATCACCAGGTGGCAACGCGGAAACCATATGTGTGTGCCCTGCCATCGATAATTTTTTACATCCCTATTTTGAACCGCATAATTCTAGAAAATTCCAATCGCTGGCCAGCGTGAATTGCCGAAATCAGCTAAAGCTAGCACTGCCGGATCAGGATAGCACCCTAATCCCTAAGCTTTTTATACAAACTCAGTGAGATAATCCCCGTTAAGATTAAGCGATGGCCAAGTGGGGAGAAGGAGATCCGCGCTGGATTGTGGAGGAGCGTCCCGACGCCACCAACGTGAACAACTGGCACTGGACGGAGAAGAACGCCACGCCCTGGTCCAAGGACCGCCTGCACCAGCTCTTTCAGGACTTCAAGATAGGCGAGTATGCGGCAAACACCTGCCCAGCCATCCATTCATCTATCCTAACCTAAAAGTAATCCCCATTTCGAAACGCAGGCCAAAGCGACATCGAATGCGCCGTGGACTCCGTGGACAAGTGCTCTGGCGAGGCCACCGTCAACAATCGCAAGGGCAAGCTCATCTTCTTCTACGACTGGGAGCTGGTGCTCAAGTGGTCGGGGAAGCTGCTCAAGAACAGCAAGCTCAGCCACAAGGGCAAGCTGACCATTCCCAATCTGTCCGAGGAGAACGACCTGGCGGATGTGGAGATCACGGTGACCATCGATGAGTCCAACGACGAGTCGGAGACCCTCAAGCAGTTCATGTACAATGTGGGCCGCGACCGCGTGCGCCAGCAGCTGGGCGCCTACATCCGCGAGCTGAAAGAGGAGTACTCCAAGAACCTGATCCTACCAAAGAAGGGCGACGAAGGGGCGGGCAATCCAGTGGCGAACGCCAAGGATGCCAACAACGTCCGTAATGCCGCCCAGAAGGCAGCCTCCAACACCTCGGTGGTGGCGCCCAAGGCCAACAACTTTAGCGTCGGCTGCAAGCTGGACGTGCGCACCCTCTCATTGACCGAGGAGTTCCACTGCAGCGCCAACGATCTGTACAATGCCCTCACCAAACCGGAGATGGTAACTGCCTTCACGCGGGCCCCCGCCAAGGTCGATGCTGTGCGCGGTGGAGAGTGAGTTTCCTCATATCCCTGGACCCCTTTTCCACTTTACAATCGAGTAGAGCTATTGACCTAGTTTTAGGAAACAAAGGAGCTGTAATATGTCCCAATCTAATCGAAGATTTAGTGGAAAGGCTGTTACATTTATTCGATTTAAATAATACAACTTTTGACCTCCTTTTTAGGTTCGTGCTTTATGGCGGCAATGTACTGGGAAAGTTCGAGGAGCTTGTGCCTGAAAAGAAGATCCAGCAGAGCTGGCGTCTGAAAAACTGGTCATCTGGTCACTTCTCAAATGTTGTGATAGAGCTGGAGGAAACTGTAAGTTACCAGGACAACGGAAAACAAACGGGTTAGGGCTGTCCCCAAAACCTATCAAACCAAAAGCAATCCGAAACCAACGATTGGGTTCCCTTAAATTTTTATTTAAATTTTATATTAATACCGGTGTATTTACAATCGCTTAATGGTTCCAAAACTTTGTTTTGATTCTGTTGATTTAGATATATAACGCCTAGTCTTTACTTTAATCAAAAAGCCTACGCAATGAAAATCTCTTTACCAATTATGGCTTATTCAATTTTCGGCCTGTCATTTTTGTATAGAAATTTTCGTTTTGTTGCCTTTTTGACACAAATCACGAGCGTTTTTAAATCGCTTTTAAACGTCGGCTTTCTGATTTCATTCATTGTACTGTTGAGATTAAAATATATTTTTGCATACTATTAGACACCTAAAATAACATAAAAAAAAATTTCAAAATCCTAGTGATTTGTGTGGTACCACCGAATATAAAGTATTCGAAGATACACCCGATTTTAGGTCTTGTCAAATTTACTGCCTTACATTATCTTTTGGGTATTCTGAAAAATGTTAGTACCTATCAAAATATTTTAAAGGCTAAAGGTTCCTTTCCATTTTGGTGCACTTGATGTACTTCTTCATTTTATTATAGTATGTAAAAAGTCAAATTAAAGTCTTGTATATGCAGCCGTAAATTTAATTTCGCTGTTACATAATGTTTCTAAAAGCGTTTTCAAAATTTGTAGGCAATATTGAGTGCAAGTTTAGACAGGGCGATGTCTTATTAGCCAATCTTATGTGTGTCCATTGTTTTCCAAAGACAACTTTAAAAAACTACTGAGCATTTGTACTAAACAATACTTCGTCCTTGCAGTCATCCAGCACAATGATGTCGCTCAAGCAGACCGGGATTCCCGCCTCCGAATACGATGCGATGAAGACAAACTGGTACCGGTACTACTGGCATAGCATCAAGCAGACCTTTGGATTCGGTACCTCGATATCCGACGCCTTATAAGAGGACGCTTCTGGTGCGGAAGGCACTGGATTGAATGGGGATTTGGTGGCCGGCGGATCATTAAACGATTTCCATCTGTATTCTACCTATTGTGCTGCGAGAACTTCATTTCCACCTTAGCTGTAATTTCTGTTAATCTTTGAAGTCTCTTTCAAACCCTCTTCTGTAAAGTTCGACAACGATCGAACTGAACAGTAAACGGCTCGTTTGCCACAGCTACTTTAGAACCACATTAAATACACGAAACATACAATTCACGCTTCCGACATTGATTTCACACATTGAAAAGCTGAGAAAATAAAAGAAAATTTTGAAAAATATTTTTTTTGTAATTTTGAATTGTATACTAATAATAAATTTGTTACAAGAAATGAGTATAAAATATTTCAAAATATTGGGAGGCGTATAGAAAAAGTAATAAGAAATAACGTTAAAATATTACAATAAATTCGTCGTTTTTCATTTGACCATCTCATTTTCATGATATTTATTGGGCTGATATATGTGTAAATCCGCAATTTTTGGGTTGTCCTGAATTAATCCTCCAACCAAGTGTAGTTAGTTTTGAGTTTTCTAAAATTATAGAGAATAGTTATACACTTTTTTAATAACATTGTAACTTGCAAAAAATATATGAAATAAACAATATTTATAAAAAAGCTACTTTGTTCTCCAAATTAATCAGCACAGGAACTTTCTTTTGTAAGACCATATTGTATAACCAAGCTATCGAAATCATTTTAGTTTTATGTAAAGTAATTAGTTCCAAGTATTTTTTATACTTGTTCCTCGTAGAGTAAAAGGGTATACCAAATTCGTTGGAAAGTATGTAACATGTAGAGGGAATCGTTGCCGACCCCATAAAGTTGATATATTCTTAATCAGGATCACTAGCCGAGTCGATCTAGCCATTTCCATCTGTCCGTCTGTCCGAATAAAAGCTGAGATCTCGGAAACTATAAAAGCTAGAAAGTTGGGATTTTGTTAAGCAGATTCTATAGATTCTTGCGCACCGGAAGTTTATTTCGGCAGGGTGCCACGCCTACTCTAATGCCCATATCGCCCACATTTATGATTGATCAATAACTGTTTAAACGCTGAGAATCGTACCAATCGCGTTGCTAACTTAAAAATTATTATAATAGAAATGCCTTTGAGTCTTTTTTTTATTTAAAATTTGAAACAGAGTAACGAGTATGTGATAGTTGAAGCACTCGACAATATCGTTTTTTCTTCAATTTTTAAATTGATTAGGCTTTAGAGTTATTACATCTAATAAAGCAAATTCTGAGAAAATGGTTACCTATAAAATGTTTTTTAATACCGCTTTGTGAGTGTCCAAGTGCTTCTGGTACTCCTTGAAGCTGTTGCTCTTGAAGACCTCGCTGGCCGCCTGGTCGGAGCACTTGGTGCACTCGTAGATGAACTTGCCGGGATGCTTGCCCGTCTTGATGATGTGCTTCCGCAGGTTGTCGATCGTGCTGCACTGGAAGTCGCAGTGGGGACACTGGTGGGGCTTCTGTCCGGAGTGGCGCAGCGAGTGCCGGCGGAGGTGTCCCTTGATGCGGGCCCTGAACTCGCATTGATCGCACGAGAACCACTCCGCACCGCCCTCCTCCTTGCCGGAATGGGCCGACTTGAGGTGCCTGCGGGATAAAAACCAAAACAGAGTTAAGGAAGCCTGAGCGAAGCCATATTTAAAATCTCAACGCTTGATTAGGCGGTAAATTCCAGTGGCGGCTTGTCCCGCCACCGCAGTCAGAACTAATTGCTAATTTCGCATTCGAATCGCACGCTCGAAATCAAAATACGAGTAAGTTGGCAATTGCCAATTGCCTTTCGGCCAGAGAAGGAGAAAAAAGCAGGCTCAGCCAATCCGGGCTGGGCTTAGATGGCGATCAGTTTTTGGGTTAAGAGGGGGAAACCAATATTGGGTAATCGGACGGTCTGGTCTGCACGACTTGCCAGTGAGCTACTTTTAAGAGGGGATTGCTAAGTTCCGAAGTATTTATGGCTGCTTAAAAACGAAGTAACTTGGTTTTTTGTGTTAAAACCCACTCTTGTTCTGAAGAATTCGCGGTTTCATTTTTTTTAAGAATATATAATTGGATTATGGTTTGGTAAGTGTGAATCAGGTCTTTAAATTTTTCATTTAATTTAGCTTTTCCAAAATGGTTCTGAAGAATTCGCGTTGTCATTTCTTAAAGAATTTATTCATGCCTTTAGTTATGAGTGGTAAGTTGGGATCGCCGTGTAGGTCTTAATTTCCTATTTGAATAATTTGACCTTTCGTTAGTAATAAGTTTAACCTATTTACTCATTAATGATAAACCGACAAAATATACCAATAAGCTCTACCAGGAAGAGGAAGGTCACCTCACTCACACGATTTCAGTTACGCGCCTTCAATTATGCCCAATGCTCGTGAAGTTGTTCCCCCAAAAGCCAACTGAAGGAGTCTCCTCGCGAATCGGTGTGTGTGTTGTCCACTCCACTTATCAGCTACTGTCCAAACCGAGGACTCACAATTAATTGCCAATGTTTTTTTTTGTGGGCTCGGGCCGCCGGAATCGGAATCTGTGTGAAATCTCAAGCTTCGACTGAATAAACTGAAGACTGAAGACCCAAACAGACGCGACTCATGCGCGACTCGGTAGGCTTAATTAGCGGCAAGTAATGGAGCTTCAAGATCGACCCGCCAGTTGTAGGAGGTTTTCCACCCCCATTCCGCCCGTACCCCTCACTATATATACAGTGTGTACCCAGTACATATATCTCTGTGTGTCGAATGCCGACAAACTCGGGAATCGCGATTCGCGAATCGAGGCCTCGACTGCCAGGCGAACGCCTTTTTGGCTGCGCTTTGAAATTCCTGGATCAGCAGCGCTGCCTTTTGATAGCTAATTGAAGATCTCGGATGTGAGTTAAGCGCATCACAACAGCACTCTGTCTCAGAGCCCGGATTTCTGGGCAAGATTTATGCAAGCCCTGATTTTCGGCTGCGGCCAACTTTGCGTATTTTTAATGAGGCGAACTCTTTTGTTTTCTTTTGATTTACGTTGCGTTCTGTGAGTGAATTCATTAAATTAAGCAGGGAACTTAAGCCATGAGATCTAGAAACTGAGAGATACATTTAGGGACATATCTCGATCAAAACTTTTTAGAGGCAACTTTATTGATCCGCAACTTGCATGTGGTGTATAAAAAAAACCGAAAAAAATCTGATTCGGTTCAAAATTTAAACTTTGGATGGAAATTTCGAATGTATTCGGTGTTTTATAGAATTTTAGAAAGCCAGAACCATATCGTCTTTTATAAAGGTCTGACAATCTTAAGATCCTTTAATTGATAATTTGGTAGTTTTCGACTCGTAACGCTTTTATAAATGGTGTGATTATCAACTTTTTTTTTAACAATGGTCAAAGCTATAAAAGTATTTGGGATTTTTGTGTTAAGACTGAGTTTTTGTTATATTCAACTTCGACTTCTAAAAAAAAACAAAAAACTGATACGAAATTTAATCAAAATCAGAAGAATGTCTTGCCAATGATATATCAAAACTTAAATATCTAGATTTGTTTTAACGTTAGTAGTTCAAATGATTCATTTCAGCTATTACCATCGAATGAATTTATAGTTTTTAGTTGCAATACAATCCATAAATAAAATAATATGATCAGTTGCCGGTAATTCTACTCCTCCCAAGAAGACAAAAGACAAACAGCCAAAGGTTAAGGTGATCTGGGGTATTAACCATTATCCATCCCACTGCTCCAACATTCAAATCAGCAGCGAGCAGACCAAACAACCATCCAACCAACGGCGGAGTACAAAAGAAGCCAAATGTCGTCCCCATCAAAGCGATCGGAGAATCGACGACGATCCTCCTCAACCTCATCCACATCCACATTCACGTCCACATCCACATTTACGTCCACATCCACATCCACGTCCACATCCACATCGACATCCACTTCCACATCCACGTCCAAAGCCACTTACAACTGAGTCTGCAGCTCCTTCTCGTTTTATTTCCCTTTTTTCTTGGGGCGGACAGCTGCACAGTGGCTGACCAACGGTGGCACTACCATATTGCCGGCAATTTGGCCCTGAACTGATCGTCGGGATCTGGGAGATTCGGATGGGGGCAGTAGAAATATTACAAGAATTCAATGCGCATATCAAAGGCGATCGATAAGTCACGATTTTGTGGGGATCGAACGGCGACTCTGGCGACTGTCCTCCTCCAACTTATCCCCCCACATAACCCCTTCCCTTCCGAATTCTCTCTGTGCTTCTTGTTGTTTTCATCAATTTATGCAATTGCCGTTCAAAGTCTGCAATTATGGATGACATTTTTGCTCTTGTTGCACTTTTTTTTTGTATTCTCCATTTCTTTTTTTTTTCTTGCAAGAAATTCAAATTCGTGGAGAAAATGTCGCTCGTTTATTTTGTTACCTGCAATTGTCTTGGCCTCGTCTTTTTACGTTTCTTTTCTTTCTTTGTTAGTCCTGATTAGCATTTTGTAGATTAGTAATAGACCGACCAAATTGTCAGGCACCTGGGAGACCTCGCCCTCGCCGCATTTAATGCGTCCACTTTGGTGGAGCATTCAGTGGGAATAATGAATTGCCAAGTTATTGGGGAAACCATGGCATAAAATATCGCCATGAATAAGTTATATAGATTATATACTAAATTATATATTATAATATACTAAATATACTAAACTTCGGTAAATATTTTGTAAAATAATAAACTCACGATACTTCGATGGTAAGTTTATTAGGTATAATTTCCACCATACTTCAACTCACCTTTTCAGGTGCATCTCGCTCTTTCCCACATAGCTGCAGTTGTCCCGCTCACACTTGTGGCTCCCCTGGGCGTGGGAGATCAGGTGGGTCTTGAGGCTTTCCGGGGTCACACCTGCATACGAACAGTCCGAAAAATGGCAGCGATACCGCCGCTCCACTTCCTTCGAGTGACTCGACTCATGTAGTTTTAGGGAATACCTGAAAAAGTTGGAAGGGAAAAATGAAAACTACAGCATCTCAATATGGACCATGACCAAAAAAGTCTGTCACATTTTTAAAAGCCCCGCACTTCAGTGTTATTTTTTCTAGGAATTGGGAAATTTTTTAATTACATTAAATCAAGGCAAAAGTAATTCGCACCAAAGTCACGTTTCATGGACGGCCAAGACACGAGGCACGTTCACGTTCACATCCAAATCCAGGTCCAAATACCAAATCCAACCAGACCAGTTCCGGGCCATGTCCACGTTTGTCCAGCCGCAGCTCAGTCAAAAGGACCCGCAAAATGCAAATGCAAACCCTCGTAGGCCAAACTTTTCTGCACATCAATTACGGATGCTAATTAATAGAAACAGCTGAGAGTTCCCCCGATTTTGGCCTGCTTCCCAGAGAGTTTTTGGTAATGGAGCAACACCGGGATTTAAATGAGGCAGGACAGACTTTGTTGTCAATTGAAGTGGCAGTGCCATTGATTTAGTCGGTAATTTTCTTTTAAGCTGCCGGGATTTCCCTACATATATCATGGGAACTTAAAAACTGAAGTTCCTGATCATTTGCAATAAAATACAAGAATTAGTCACGCCAGAAACTTTTAGAGTAATAGGTTCATTTGATATATATAGAAGCTTTTGTTTTGAAAAGAAATTTGTTTAACAAAACAGCCTGTTAATATTATTATCATATAATTAATTAGTTAATAAGTAATTTAATTAGAGAGATTTTAAAGCATACCATGATCGATGGACTTCAGTGTCAGTGTCGTTTTCTCCTCCGCAAGTTAAACTAAAAGTATATTTAAAACCAAGATAACGTATGGAACTTTTAGCCCCTTTTCTTGTTCTCATGCTAAAATAGAAGCAGGTTCTTAACGTAAGAAAATTTAGAACCTAATTTCAGTTCAACACGAACACGAAAAAATGGGCCTTAGAGCTTTAAACCTATCTTTTGTTTAATATGAGAACAAAAAGCTCCCAACTTAGTTAATCATGCAGGCGAGAAAATAACCTTTAATGTGTTGTTTCCTAGGTTTACCAACAGATGTCGCTTCAAAATACTTTTCGAATATCTATTGTTAGAAGACCTTATGGGTAGTTTGTTATTGATCTGCTCAGTTAAAAAATTACTGCCTTAACACATTTTTAAACGAGGTGTTGTTATAAAACAGCCTTCATTTAAATGATACCCATTGGTCGAATGAGATTGCTGGATTCCTCAAGTCTCAACCACTCCTTATTCCAAACAAAGCACTCTTAATTTGCTAAGCTCATTGGCATTCAGGGAGGAAAAGATTCTTCTTAATAACGCGCGACATTAACAAAGTTTCAATCTTTAATCTAAATTCCTGTTACGAGACAAACGCCGAGCAACGGATTTTGGGGGTGTGGGGCGGCATTAAGGGCTATGGGGCGTGGCCAGTCTGGTGAATGGGGGTAAGACAACATTGTCATGCATTTCTAATGATGCCATCGCGAAGACGAGGGGGCAAAAGGGGGTCGAGGGGATTAAGGAACAAGGGGGCGTCGTTGATATGTGAAATGTCACTTTGTATGGAGTTTGAATAGCAACGACAATGACAAAACAGGATGATGTGAAGGGGGAGGGATAAATGGAGGGCAGAAACTCCTTGAAGGTATTGCAGGACTTGACAAAAGGATGCCATTTTACCTGCAGGAGTTTGCCGTAAATTGTTCTTGTTTCTGTTGCTCCTGTTGCCCAGGATAATGGTATAACAACAACAGCAACGGAATCGGGACAACAGGAACACCAACATAATGCTGAAACTGAAAGAAAGCAAAGCGAATTAGATGCAACAAAAAGAACAAAAACACCAACGGCGAACAACAAAATTATCTTTCGCTTGGTTCGTTTTCCCAGCTCCCAGTTGTATTTTCACCTCCAACATTAACTTTTATTTCCTCAAATGCATTTTCCAGACTTCGTCTTCAACGGCAAGTTCTTGAGTTTCTTCAGCCATAACCGTCTGTCTCGCTAATACGTTTGTCTCTCGGCCAGGAGAAAAGCTGGGAGAAATGTTCATGGGTCCAGACCAGGCAACATTACTACCTAAATTAAATTGCACCAGACTGGGGCTAATTTGAAACAGGTTATTGTGCTCGGAATAATTCAATTTTCAACCTTTTTTAAGGAAATCTCAGTTTCAGTGAAGCAGAAATAAGCTCGTTATAAGTAGGAATAATTTGAGAATTTTTAAAGTAATAAATAATAAATTTGTTTGTTTTTAAAAATGAAATCATCATCATATGAAAAAATGAAAAATTAATTGGTTTGTAATATTCTTAATTTTAATTTTTGGTAAACTTGCTTCGGTTTAGCAACCCAAGAATCTATATGTCATGTTCTCATTATCTGGCTTTTATAGTATCCCGAGATATAAAATATTTTATTTCTTGCACCGAAGTAAAGACATGTTATTATTTATCATACTATTTACACATAAAATAGAGTATTTAAGAAATGAACTATCTAGATTTTATAATAACTTTGATTATATAAAAATCTATATAGTTCGTTAGAGCTAAATAATATGTATTTTTTTTGCACTGATGAAAATGATTAATTTATTTATTTATAAAAAAAATTAAACAGTTTATACACGAATTCTCCAGCTTTGGTAGCATCCCGAGTTAAATTAAATATTTAATTTCCTGCACTGAGGACAAATACACTTTAATTAATCATTTAAAAAGTAAGTTATGTATGCGGATATTAACCATATTTCCAAGTCAGTCACATAGTAAGTTTTAATTTCCAGAAGCTGTTCAAAGGCGAAACGCGTGGAGAATTCTCAAGGATCCCTTCAATGCGCTAGGATGGCACATCCTGGCGTCTCCTGGCAGCAGCTTCGTAGCCGATTAGTTGACAAAAACGCCATGCGATGAAAACTTTGCCCTTTTCAACGCTGTTCTTCAGGTGTGGTATGGGTTAAGATGGGGGTTAGGTTGAGCTGTCATCAACACCCCCTCCTTGAAAAGGAGGAGCCCGAGTGCAGCAGCTGCAGGCCAGGACGAAGCTGTTGGCTCTGTCCGGGTGTTGTGTCAACTTTTGCACGCCATCCATTAGAGGGATGCTCGACGTACCCTCAGCGGATGCTGATGCGGATGCGGATGCTCCTCCCTTGGATGCCCCTCCCTTGGCCACCGAAAACGCTGAGCAAACATGTCGCGGGTGCGGCAGGTGCAAAATGTATCCTGCTGCTCATTGTCAGCTGCACAAGGATGCAGGATGGTGGGTTGGTGGGTGTGGCTTGGGGGATCCCTGCCCCAAAGAAGGACTCCTGTCTGTGGCTGTCTTAGACAATCGCATGTGTAGTTTGGAGCAGCTGAATGTTTGCCCTGGTGCGCTCGCATTGTTGTTCCCCAAACTCGCATAAATATTTATGACAGCGTCTTTCTTGTCTTGTCTTGTCTTTTGGGCGCAAACTTCTGTGCCGCGGGGCGTTAGTCAAGTCAGCCCAGCCCCCTCGCAGGCGGCTTCCGGTGTCAGTCAGCAGGATACGGCCACACACCAGTGCTGCCCAGTGTGGCCTTCTTCCAGAAAAACAAACTCGTTAAGAGTTTAAAAGAATCCAAGATCCTTAAAGAACTCTGCTCTACTAACTCTTTGCTACCATTTCCAACCCCAATCTTATTTGGAAGCTTTACATGAACTTCAGGAAATACATAATAGGATAAAAAATGTATTACATTGTTGAAAAATCGTTCTTTATGCTTATATGCTACATTGATATGAAAACACGTATACAATCCATCCTGTTTTAAAACCGCTTTCAATTTAATTCGAGCTTAAAATAATTTTTTTTTGAATTTCAGCACAGGAATATAATTTCTAAGTATTATATAAGTATTATTCCGTTTGGATTTTAAATTTTAGACTAAAGAAAGTTTAAGAAACTTTGGTTTTAAGTCAAAATTTTTAATTAAGATTTAAGATAGGTTATTTTTAAAACATACTTAGACCTATTAAATCCTATTCAAAAAGAAGATCTTTACCTTGACTTTTGTGCGTTCAAGATCACCTTGGGGTGGATTATACTTTGAATATTGTGTGAAAAACCTAAGCAACAAATATTGATTTTAAAAACCACGCACAATATTCGTAATTGAAAAAGAATCCTACATTTTGGGGAAATAAAGTCTTTCTTAAAGTGACAGAGCTGACAAGAAATTTTGTATTTTAATTTAATATAGATAATATTATGTTTGAAAACGTTTGAACTGAATATAAATTTAGCATCACTGGCGAACACCCTCAGAACCACCCCCCTTAGCTGCGCTCATGTAATTGGTACGTAAGTCTTGTCTTGTCCTTGCCTCATGTCCTGGCCCACTGAAGTTGAGAGTTGTTCTTCGCCGGCGCGACATTAGCCGGATTTTGATGCCTTGGCCCGTGCTGCATGTGAAATTAGTTGTTGCACCGCCACCTAGCCGCCTGCGTGGGGGCGTGGGAACATTTATATACCATGTGTAATTAGGGAAGTGCCTGGGACATACCTTCCTTTCTATTCCCTCATTTCGACGACTCCTTGGCGCTTATCTGGCAAACTTGAGCGAAACAAAAATCGTTGCAGGAAATTACCGTTAAATGTCACCCTTGCACTTGTCTAACAGCCAACACCCCCCGAACGCCAAACCCCAAAACCCCCTTTTAACCCCTTTTAGCGATACGTGTATGTACTTTCTTGACTTTGTTTGGCTTTGTCGTTGTTATTAATGCCTGGCCGGGTCTTAACTTGAAGTTTTTAATGTTCAACTTGGCCGTCTATTTGGATTAGCCTGATGGCATGGGCAATGGCATTTGAATGCGACACCCACGCATATGGGTATAACCATATATGGATGTGCGGATTGTCGGTAATGAAGGCGGTAATTGCGGGTAAGCCACGAGACATTTTCCCTGGGAACGTGATCTTGCTTAGTCAGAAATAAATAACTTGAGGTGGTTTTCTATTTCTTTGAGCATTTTTGAAAAAGGTGAATGGAACAGGATCAACTTGATGTTCACAGAATAATGGAAAATAGATATTGGACATTGTACATTTTCCCATTGTTTGAAATTACATGTCAGAGTAAAAAATTGAAAGGTAAACATTTTTCGAAATTCAAGGACTTCCCATTTATTCTTAATATTATTAACAGTCCATGTTAAATAAATTTTGCTAAACGATGGTTCTTAACTTCTAAATGTAAGATTAAAATAAGAAAGAAATCGTATTATAAATATTGTTAAAGTTTTAATTTGAAATTTAGAATTTCAATCCTTAAAAATATGTACTGAAAAAATTATTAATTTTCATAAAAATATTAAGAATTTAGCCAAGAAACTTACAATCCCTCTGTAAAATTTCTATATTATTATAAAAAAAGTATATAAGATCAGAACCAACTTCTCTACTCATGACACCTACTTTTCTCTTAAAACCTACCACTTGATGTGAATCTCAGCATTCTGACATGTCGCCCATAAGATGAGATGGCAGACAACCAGTTCGGCAAAATAGAAAAGGAAAAAAAAGCAATCCAAACATGCCGGCAACAGAAAAATCCAGCTCAAAACACTTGCCAATGGCCATCAACAACAAGCCAGAATCCGCAGTGAGATGGGTGATTGGGACTGAGACATAAGACCGAGGATTCGAACAACACGTTCCACTGCCAGCCGACCACAAACCGAACAATGTCCGACTCAATTTCGCAGATTCATAAAAATGAATGAATGCAATGTGGCAGCGGAATAGGAATCGGAATCGGAATCCCTAAATCCTCCGATGGAGCGGGCCGGCGTCATTGGAAATGGAAAATCAAGTTTGTGAAATTGACTCTCAAGTGATGGAAGTTGGGGGGCGTGGAGAAGTGGTCGTGGTCGTGGCCGTGGTTCGTTGAGATCACTGGAGGACGACGGCGACCATTAAAATGAATTGCACTGCACTTTGTGCCATCAACAGAATCAACTGCCGGCAAACGAATGATGCACCATAGGAATGACTTAAAATACGAAATACAAAAAAAAAAAAAAATAAACCGAAAGGAAAAAGGCGAACGGACCAGCCCAAGAAAAACAACAGCGGGAAAATGCAGACGGGTGGGAAAACCCAGTGGCCAGAGCAAGATGGCGAGAGACAGGAGATGAAACCGAATCCAAATCCGAATCCGAATCCGACTGGCGGAGGCAGCCAACAGAACATTGCACGCCATTTCAATAAAAGTGAATTGCCCGACGCTGCGATGGCGACGACGTCGTCAGCGGACGCCTCAAACTTCATCTGCTGCCTCCTGCAGGCGGAGGACCCACTCCGAAGGACCCCAAGGACTCCGGCCGGCGATGGAAGCGTGACACGGCTGAAGAGCTGAGTAGAAAGAGAGTCCTCTGAATACTGTTCATTTTTATCAACAACCATCAGGTGATATACTTTGTTACTATATATACACATAACATTCACAAGTGAAGGTGGTAAATCTACATGTATTATTATAACCATTGAATAATGTAATGTAGATATTGGAAAACTACTTTTTCGAGTTATGTATATCACTTCCCATATCAATGCGATACGAGCCTTATAAAGTTACAAGTATTACGGAATTTTATCAAAACGAATATAGCCACTTCTAGCCATTTGTTTAGTAGTGAATATTATTTGTTGAGACTTAAATAAATGTATCCTTGTTTTGAGCTTGAAATACGCAGATTCCTTAAACGACGATCAAACGACTTTCGGAGAATTCTTCGGAATCCCGATCAGATCTTAAGAAATGAATGTGGCTAAGGTAGAATCAAAGTTAAGTTAGTTTTTGCTAAATGTATCTAATGAGAAACATAAACAAAAATCTTAAACATAAGTCATAAAATTGTATTATAATTTGAAACTAATTATCAGGTTTGAGAAATACCATTTTTAAATCTTTTTAAAAGAATCCATTAAATTTAGTTAGTTTCCTAATCCGCTTTTATAATCTATTATAGTACATTTTGACAAGTTATTGATTTAAAAAAAATTTCTTCTTTGGATATTTAAACTCAACAAAATATAAACATCTGATCTAAAAATAATAATGCCAATTATAGATATACAAGTTTACTAATTGAGTAGGGACAAAATTGATCATACAGAAATGGATGTAACTAAGTCAATTCAAGAGTTCCATCAGTAAGATCTAAGAGTCTAGTAACTTTCCCACCTCTAGCACTTCCATCTCGAGGAGATGCCAGCTAAAAGAAGCGACCGTAAAAGTTGAGTTAGCTGGAGTCTGGAATTCCGGAAGCGTGTGTAGCGCTCCGCTGTTGACATGACTGACGATGTCGTCGTCCTCGCCGTCCCCGTTGCCTCCTCTCCTTCGTCCTGGGACCAAGGCTGAGTACTGAAAGTTTTCCAGAGCTCAGATACTCCAGGCCACTCCACTCCTCACCACTCTCCCCGGCAGCTTTGCTGGCCACTTGGTCTCGTTAGTCGTAAAAGCAAAGTATCTACATCAAGCGGGCACAACAATAACTTCAAATGAGCATTTTAATAAATTTTTCAAATAATCACTTGAAAAGTGGAAAATTCTCTACCCCAGCGACGAGTCTTAGTCCCCGTTTCCATCTCGGTCCCGATTGCAATTCAACTTAATGTTTGCTTAAGGAATTAGTTGGCAGAGGCGAACGTGAAGTGGAAAAAGTTCGCAAGTTATGAGTAGTTATGAGGAGCGGCGGAATTGGACGATGCGATTTAGATCTGCCAGTGCTAATGGGTTTCTTTGAGATGATATGTCTGGGGGGAATAAATGGAATATTGAGTGAGAGAGAAGTGCATGCAAAAATCTTAAGAGATAGCATGGTGTTTTCTGTTTAGATGGGATAGTCCTTGCCTATTATTTAAAATAGATACGAGAATAGTGCATTTTATGGATGGGATGACTTGATAACATTTGTGTTAACATTTGAGTTATTGATTCTTGGAATTTTCTGATTTTTGAGATCACAAGGAGAAATTGACCAAAATAATTGTAAACATTTTATAAGATATTTCAATCCTAATAATCCACTAATATAAAAATTTAAATATTTAGACTCACTTTTGGTAAAATATGATGACGATGTACACATCGTATATATGTTGTACATATATTGAAATTGTACATTCTTTGAAAAGCAATTTTAATAAATTTTCATTTAGAATTTTTTTTCCTTTCAAAATTTATATAAATCCGTATTGAAGTTGTATTTACAAAAAAAAAGTCCGCCCTTCTTTGGAATAAGTTAAGATATATTCATGTGTTAACAACCTTTTTGTGTTTAATGCTTAAAACAAATATCCACACGTTGTCCATTGGTCAATGTAAAAACTCAACAGAACCGAAAACCCTTTATGAAAATGACACGTTAGAAATGGCCATTCTAATAATGTTTTTGGTGGTCCCTAAGGGGAGATGGTCTTTCCCGCTTGCATCTTTGTTTATCCCCAAAAATATTTATTTTCTGGAACGGGGAAATTGCAGTTTTTGGTGGAATGGCCGCAGGCTTGATTTGCGAGTGCATTGCATACTTTGTGGCTGCAGTCCACATACATTTTGGGGGTGTCCTCGCGTTTTTTGGCCGGAATGCCCAGCACTTAATGAGTTATATTTTGTTGTATTATTTCGGTTACTTATTCTCACATACTGCAGCTTGGAATTTTTAATTAATGCAACACACAATCCATGCGCTTGCATGGTTTTCATTTGCAGGAATTCCCTAACAGCCGGTTTTTTTGGCTTTCTTGTTGTTTATTTGAGACTTTTATAATGCTAAACTATTTGGGCGATTTTTCGGGGACTACAATAAGTTGCATGACATTTTCATAAGGCAAACAGCACTTCCGTTGCAGCCAGTCGAAAGCCTGGGGCTTTTCAGGATTTCCAATTAGCGGTCTTTGTTTGGGGTTTTCAAATTACATGGGTAGGGTAAAGAATTTGGCAAAGGGACTCGACTGAGATTTAATGGAAAATAAAGGTTTTAGTACTTACTTTTTGGCCAGTATTTTTCCACAGGTTCCACATTGAAATTTGGCTATTGGTTGATCTTCAGATTTCTTCTTGGCCATCTTGGCCTTCTCCTGATCCTCCTTTTTGGCATGCATGGTTGCCATATGGTTCTTTAGATTATGTCTTCTGGCAAATTTCAGAAGGCATTCAGTGCACTCAAAAATCTTTTCATCTGTGTGGTTTCTTAAATGAGCTCTCAGCGAGTGTTTTTTAAAATTCTTCGGACACAAGGGGCACTGAAGAAGCTCATTTTTCCCTATTGTTTCGGATCGTGTGTGGAAAATGCGATGATAAACCAGATCGGACTCGTACTGAGCTTTGAAGCTACATTGATCACAGGAGTAGGTGGGTTTACTTTGGGAAACAGATGGATTGGCGGAGGATGAAGTACTGGCTTGGGGTTGACAGCTCCTTGTGTGCCTTCCCAAAGCCTGAGCAGATTGAAAACTGGTTCCACAGCTCAAACACAAATGATTATCCGCCGAATGAACTTCAGCTCGATGTTTGGCTAAAATCTGAGGTGAGTCAAAGATTGTTTGGCAATTTGAGCATTTTAAGTTGACAACTTTAGTCTTTTTGGCGGGTGGATTAGGAGTGGCCTCCTCTAGGACTTCCCTTAGCATATGTTCTATTTCCTTTTCCGGCTGTGAGATTGATTTTTTAGGTTTGGCCTTAAGTTTATGTTGCATCAAGCTTCGATGACGTCGCGCCTCCAAAGGTGAATCAAATTCCAATCTACAGATGGCACAGTAATACTTGGCCACATGGTGCTTATGCTTTTCATGACGCTGCAGAGCCAAACGGGATTTCTGGGGAGCACCACACAAGCCACATCGGAATCTACTCTGGTATTCATCCGCTGCGGTTCCTGAAGGCGGAAGACCAGGATGTTCCGAACTGAAGTGCCGACGTAGTTGGAAATTGTACAAGAAACCCATTCCACAACTGGAGCACTGAAGTCCCCTTCTTTGGGCTATACATATGGGAACCGATCTGTTGAGGGCCAAAACCACTTCTTTGTGAGAGGGATGCAGCAAATGGAGCCACATAATTTCATTGGTTTGGCACTCATACTGGCAATAGCCACACCAAAAGGTTCCACCTAATTTTTGAGTGACCTCCAAGTGCTCCGGGGATTGCCAGTGTTGGAGAAATGTTTCTTCCGTGTTGAAATAGAATCTGCAGGGCAGGCACTGGAAGGGTGATTGCCTCACTATGCTGCCCATGTGGCTGAGTATATCCTGCAGACAAGATTGTTTCTTCAACCGACTCTGCTGCTGGAGTCTTCTGTAGTGGTAATGGGATATCAAATGCTTGCCCATCAAATGTCTGGCCATTGTGTGCCGGCAAAGATCGCATCGCAAGAGATTGGCTCTTCTCTGACGTTTCGAGGACTTTGGTTCCTTCTTGTCCTCACTCTTTTCCACTGCGAAATCCTTGCTCAGGCTAAGTTCCCTGCCCAGGTTTGCCTGCTCCAGGTGGCACTCTGCATCGGCTCTCTTTACATGGTAGCCACTTCTCAAATGTTGCTCGTAGTTCAGGCGACTCTTCAGTCGCCTGCAGCAGATGTTGCACCAATAACTGGCTCCCGGTTGTTCCAGTTTGGTTAGATCTATATTTTCTCGGTACTCCAACTGTTTGCTACCCGGTACCCATTTGCCCTTTGTATGATCTGCCGGGGGATGGGTGTAGGACTCCTCCGGAGGCTCATCCCAGCTGGGCGAGACGCGTTCTATATGTGGATGTCTGAGTTGTGGGCGGTGCTCTGGTTTCCACTTGCCACCCGTGTGGGTGGCAGGCACAGTGGGTGGCGAGTGACGTCGCACATCGTAGTCCTCATCTTCCTCCTCAGCATCAAAGTCATCGTGTTCCTCCTCATCCTCCTCCTCCTCACTGGCCTCAGGGGAATCGTGATCAAAGTTGAGGGGCTTGAACACCGCCTCATCCTGTTCCCTCACAGCTTTCAGCAAAGGATCGCCCCTGGGCGCTGGCCAGGACTCCTCTTTGCTTCTCTCCTGGCGAGCCACAGATCCCGTTTTTCCACCCGTCGAAACACTCTGCAGTTGCAGTGAGGAAAAGAACAGATCAGCTCCTAGTTCATAGGGTAAGTCGTAGGCTTCTGTCAGGGATTTGGATGCCTTTCCCCCATGGCTAGCTGTAGTTTTACGGAGATAGCTGCTAGGAGCCTCCGGTTCCGTGAAATGGAAGCCATCGTAGGTGTGATCCAAGTTACTGCTACTGATGATTGTCGGGGATACTTGTGTGAGAGTGGAGGTGGTTGGTGGACCATCTGTTGTGGGGGTCACAATTGGTTTCTCCGTCATCAGACAGTTCCGTTTCCGGTGCTCGATGTACTTCTCGAGTCCGAGGATCGTGGCATTGCACTTGATGCACAAATGAGTGTCCTCCAGATCGTCTGCGTTCATAATGATCTGAAAAAAGTAAGATACATTTACTACACATAAGTTTTTTTTAACAAAATTAGTTTTAAAATTTTAAACTCGAGTGCCTCGACTATCAGTTACCCTTTACTCAGCAAAGCGATTATCCCCAAGACTGAACACACCGCCACTGCGCCACTTATCGGTGATTCCTTTATTTGCCTTAAACTTTTCAGTAGATGGTCCGATTTGAACAATGATAATCTAAACAAAATCCCATTTGCACTTTTTAAGAATCTTTAAAATGTGGGAGACAACTTGCGTTTCGTAGGAACCCCTAGAATCTGCATGCTATAATCCAATATTCTAGCTCTTACAGTTTCCTATATCTCAGCGTTCATACGGACGGACGGATATGGTTATGTCGACTCGGATAGTGATTTTAATGATACCCTTTTACTCTACGAATATAAAAACGTATCTTTTATACGCAGATTCTTAAAAACTAGCACATGAAGTTATTTTCCTTTATTATTACATTTTGCTTAACCCACTAATTGTTAGATCTGTGCTAATCTAAGTTCATCAAATCCCATTTTTGGGATATTTGAGCTTTGTTTCCTTTTTTGTAGACGGATTACTCTGGAAAACCCCTTAACAGAATGATTTGTGGTGATCCAGTCTGGTGACTAAGCTCCCTAACCACCGCCTCTTCATGGGAGCTGCACAAAATGAACTCGACTCTCGACTCCGGCGGTGTAATATTTCAAGTCCGCTTTATTCATTAGCCGGAGATCCAGATCCCGCCCCCCAAACCGACGAGCCGGAGTTCTCATCCCTTGCATGAGGGCAACAGTCATGGCCACCGCAGCGTTGACATGGCCGTGTCCGTATTCGTGTCCCGTTTTCCGAGCTGCTCCACGTTACGTATCCGCCTGTTGACCGGCTGTCCTCTGTGTGTGTTGCGGCCTGTCAGAAATGAAGTTTATGGCGTCTGTGTTGCGTCCGTGTAAGCGCTCTGTCTCTGTCTCCCTCTCTCTCTCTCTCTGTATCCTGCTGTCTCTTTCCGGCCCTTTCGCGATGCTAAATGTAAAAGTGTCATTTCCGCCATATGTGAGCGCGATGAACGATGCGTCGAAGTCGACGTTGACGCCAGAAACTCTGATGTTGCTGTTGCCGCTGTGATGTTGCTGCTGTGCTGTTGCTGCTGTGCTGTTGCTGCTGCTGCTGTGCTATGTTGTCGTCTCGGTTGTTAATAATTTCAGCGCACAATTGCAGCAGCAACAACAATCGCTGGCAGCAGTTGGCGGGAATTTACACAAACGAGGCCCATGTCTGAGGTTAAATACGAAAAACATAACAATTCCAATGCAGAGCCCCCATTCCCATTACCATTTCCCCTCAGCCCGTGGATGATATGGATCCATGTGGGAATGCGGGATGTGCGATAGGGCTTATATGGGCGATGGGCGATGGGCCACGCCGAACATCCGCGCTTGCCGCCGCCTTCATCCGTCTAACAAACAAGGGCAATATTGGCCACCACCCACCAAACCATTTGTTGGTCCTGTGAGTGATAAACGAACATTTGTTTAACAATTAACGTGCTGGCAGCAGCACATGCAGCGCCTTATTTATTTGTTCTGTTGCCCTGACAATTTTTAGACTTCACCAGCAGTGGCAATCTTTATGCTGCTAATTAAAGTTAAAAGGGGCGGTGACACTCGTCGTAAAAAAATAATATTTGGGAAGGGTAATTGCCTATTCAAGATATTAATTTAAAAGAGAATAAAAACAAATTATTGAAATTAAAAATATATTTAATATAAGTGTTTAAGTGATTGAAATGTTTTAAAATCATTTAGTGCTATACCAATTTTTATACCATTAAAAAAATTGGATTGTATATTTTTTAGTGCTTCTGAGCAACTCCCAAAATAACTATTTCAAGTAAATATATATAAAAATAGTTTTTTACGTAGTTACAATGAAAAACACCCACAAAAATAATCGGCCTTTACTTTTAATACGTTTTTATTTTAAAAAACATTCTTTTAAAAAACTTTTAGGAGTTGATATTTGTAATTTAAGGAAGATAACGACATTAACTTAAAATATTTAAGCTTGAGAGAGAATGCTTTTTTTGCGTGTAGGGAAAACATCTTAAGCAATTTAATAGTGATAATTATCGTTGATAACATTTTTGAAAAGGAGGAATTTAAAATTTAGGAAAGTGACACTAAAATTTAAGAAAAGTACAATGTAATTGCACATTTGTGTGCGAAGCACAGCATGGCTGTATTGAGGAATTAAATAATAAAAGCAGTTAAAATCCTGCATGGCACAATTGTCCCATTATTTGCATTTGTGACAACGTACGATGGCGACGACGACTGCGATCCAATCCCCATCCGAGTGCCCCATCCTAACCCAATCCCAATCCCAATCCCAATCCCAGTTCCGATCCAAGGGAATCCGCACCAGAGTCATCGTCAGCCTCTGCGTCATCAACAACAATAAAAGCAATGGGGCAATAGCAGAACAACAAATAACATGACAATGTTGTTGCTGTTGTTACACTGAGGGCATCATTGGCAAACAACACTGTACAACACAATCGAGGAAGATGGGTTGTGATGGGATGGTATGGTATGTGTTTGAGGATGAGGTTGAGGATGCCAATGGAGGCCACGAGAAATCCTCGTGGTTGTTTGATTCGAAAATTGAGTTTTAGCGAGACAAATAAAAATAAAACTTAGAACAACAGCAGCAACAATAAGAACAACAGCAGCAACAAGCCAGCCAGGCAAAGCGCAACCATTAAAAAGGAGTTATCACCCAATTTAGTACCACAAGCGCGAAATAACACACACATATGCACGAAGGGATGGGGTCAAATGGGTTTGTTTGTGTGTACCAACCGTCGACGTCAGTTGGAACAGCAAATATGTAGACATACTGTACAACATGGCATTTATTGTCAAGCCCAAACGGTCTGCAAATGAAGGGACAGCCCAATGGGCTGTAAGGAATAATATGGTTAACACCAGAAACTTAGGATTAAAATATTTTTAAAAAAGCTAAAATATATATTAACTAAAAAAACCGTATTAGTATATTTCATTAAAATAATATCCTAAAACATATTGTTTTGAAACCCGTTTCACAACCAATCCTTAGATTATTTTATTATTTTCCCTTCTTATAACCTACTTAGAGAATGTGGAATAGAACAATAGTATTCTTTCTTGTCAAAATCAAAGTATATAAAGTAAAAACTTAAGTAAAAACTTTCTTATATGCCAAACTTATAAAAATAAAATATTGATAACATATATTCTTACAATATTGTTGATTTATGATAAGAATTGATTTCTTCCCTAATGTTTTATTTAAGTAATTTTAGCAGTCTTTAAATAATACTAATAATTTCAAAGAACATTACTGATTCCTTAACTATTATAGAAACATTCCAATGCTTGTCCAATCTTCTATAAACTTTGAAAATTATTAAATTTATTTTAATTTCTTTTTAATACAAATTGGCACTGCAATAAAAATTTAACAGTCATAATTTCAAGCGATTCTCATCGGCTTCACTCAACTAAATTCTAAAAATAAACCTTAAAAAATACAAAAACAGGTCAAATCGCCTTAAAATACTTAATTTGATGGAGCTTAAGTGGAGTGTCATAAATATATCGATTTAATGGTAAAAACTGCAAAAATTCATTGCCATGCAGGAGAAACTGGCAGCTTGACAAACGTCATCAAAAAAATTTTACGACCACTCTTTTATGAACGGACAAAATAAAAAAATTATATGCCACATAAACCTGATGACCGTCCAGCGAATCGCACAGCACTCAACAGGTAGTGCCCCGACCAACCCAGATCCCATATCCCAGATCCCTGATCCCTGGTTCCCTGGATCCGGAGTCATCCTGAGTGGCATCTGCATATCTTCACCGGCGATTGTAAAACAGTGAGGGGGAAACTCAATTGGAAATTAAAAATGCCTGGCAGCTGACGAGGAGAAATCAAGAGATGCCAATAATAATAAATTCGGCGTTGTAAATTATTGCGCATCGTAAACGGGAATATGCTAATCGATTTCATTAATCCGATAATGATGGTAATTAGTTCTTTGTTTCGGCCGAAGGAGAGACCCTTTATTTCCAATAAACTTATTAAAAGATTGGATCTGCGCTTTGGAATATCATTATCACTCCAGATATCACTTTGGTAATAATAATAAAGTACATGTCAGTAATTTTTTATGATAATACAATGATCTAATAATATGAATTTTTAAATAACAGGTACTAGGTACATCCAGAATACACAAATATTAGAATGTTAGAAAATACCCAAACCCAGGCAATATCACCCGGCAAAACCAATTCGAAACCCATCCTTGATCGACTGATCGAGCCATTAGCATTCAAAATAAAGTCAATACCAGACAAACCATGAAATCGAACCGAAAACGTATGACTGGAATTAACTGCAAATCGTTAACAATAATTCAGCGGGCAGTTCAACAGTTCCACAGCTCATTGAGAGGGGATTTTCAAGGGGATAGGGGGATATCAGACTAGTTTGCATTTAAGGCGAGGATGATCGTACATTTTAATGGGCATATTTCACGCCGCTCGCCGGTCGATTCAAGCGATTCCAGCGGATCCGTTTGGCCACTCTACTCAGATCTCGGCCCACGACGAATTCATAAAGTATCTCGCACTTTTTTAATGATTTCTGAGTTACAAGCCGAGTGGCCGAGTGGGATCTTTAACTCTGATTTCCCCGGCTTCCTTCTCACAGCAGGTACAATGCAACAATTTGGCGGCAACTTATGACAGCGCAACCATCGCACATAACCTCAAATGGCACCATACTAAAAAACTGATCTGGCCAGCGAGAATTTATTTAGCTTTTTGTGGCCAACAACGAACCAAGGCGATGTGGACGATGAGGCGGCTTTCGTGCGCACTTAAATTATGAATATTACCAAATGGGTCAATTCGAAATAAATAAGCAACGGTCCCTCGAGTCTCCCGATCTCTGGACCTCTGCCGATTGGCCAAATAGAGTTGTCTCTGTCGCAATTTCTCATTGAGCTGTCGCCCGTTGCCGATGAGGATGAGGACGAGGACCCGTTTCCTGGCCAACATGCATACACGCATAGTATTCCCGGATACTATGGATAGTATGGATACGATAGGATGGTTTGGATTGGCATTGGGCGGCCTCGCCTGTAGTAATATCGCTCATGCATCTGGTAATCTATGCGCAATTAGCGGCGTACATCAGATTTAGTACTCTGATTGCTTTTGCCCCTTCTCTATCTGTCTCACTCTTACTGGCCAATGATTATTGGCCGTAAATATGATATGGAATTCGTTGGTATTCTTTTCCTTAATCTACCGGAGTGGCTCATCCGCTAGATGTTTAGGAGACAGGCAGGAAATGCATTTAATTTCCCTGCCCATATATTTAACAAGGCGGTGACTTTGAGTAGACTGCAGACGGCTAGGGTTATCATAACTCAGTTATTGGGGTAATTTGACGAAGAAGGTTATCAGAATATAGGGCTTTACACATCATATATAAATATTAAATAGACACTTATAGGATGGTTCCCTTAGTTTTTTACTTCTTTCTATATTGGTACATAGGTAACTTATTATCCCCTAATGTAGAGTTACAGAAAAAGCTATATCACCGAAAAGTATCGAATAGGAACCGAGAATATGTATTCCTCAAGTTTTATTCTATAATGATATTTTTAAAAACTGGAGGATACGATTAATTTTGATTATTGTTTATATTTCTAAAGGAAAATGATGATAATTGTCATTGATGATGCTCTATTTACTTACTTAAAAAGGTCTAAATTTGATAGAATATATCAGATTGAATTTCTGGTAAATTACAATAGCATGTTTTTTAAAATGTACCTATAAAAGTAATACAGTTCATACTTATTGGAAAAATATCATCATCATTTTGGTATTCTTAGAATTCGTTTGACCAACGATTATTTGTGATGATCTTCTACTGCCGCTCCCACAGAACCCGCATCCAATTCGAAAGCGATAAAAGACCCGAAGAGCCTATCAATATATCCATCAATTAGAATTTGCGCGGATAGACGCGGCCCAACCCAAACCAGGAACGTAAGTCCCACTCGGTGCATCCATCAGGGGACTTCATCTGCTGGATTCTGGTTCCTTACGCCCTGGTGATCTTTATGGCACCATAACCGCTCTGTGGGCGGAGGTGATAAATCCCTGTTAAGTGGCACCCATTAATGCATCGACTCTCGTGACTTTGGGTGACTCTCCAATGGCTGCGGCGCTTCCGTTTACTTTGTTTTTGACGCGTGGGATCGGATCGACTTCTCCAGCCCCATCCTTCCGATCGTAAATTTACCAATTTGTTGAAACCGCTCAGAGTTCAACCTCTACTTGTTTCGGGGGTTGTGTTCTTAACACTGCCGAGTGCCATAAATTTCGATTAGTATTATGTATTTGCATCCAGTGGGCGTTGTCCGAGTGGGTTTCAATCTAATTGTAACCCAAGACGAAATGATAGCGGCTTTTTCACACCCAGGCGGCAGAACAAAAATGTATAATTAAATAAACAGACAGCTGAGGTCCTCTCCAATGATCATAGATTTTACGATGCCTTTTTAAGATGCTCGTAAAATCTTTAATTTTATGAGGCTGCCATTATTTGACAGTAAACAAGGTTAAACAATGGAATAAACCCAGGGTCCAGGTGCTTTTCGACCCGCCAAAAGGGCGTGACAGATTTGTTGACTCTGACGTTGACCCGCGCTTTTGTCAGTTGTCAAAAAAATTTCCAATGATGATGGCCATTAAATACTGGCGGGCCAAACCAAACCAAACCACAAAGGAGATCGCCATCAAAGTGGCTTTTATTGTTCTTTAATTGTTGAACTGTGTTCCGCCGTCTTGGTACGCGTTATATGTACGTACATAAAATTAAATTTTATGTTTCGACTGGCAGCGAGTAAGAACCATTTGAAATAGTCAAGTCAAGTCGAGTCCAAGTGACCCGCTGGTTTTTAGTGTGGAAATCACTTAAGCGCGTTTACCGAATTTACGACTCTAACGACTCTTAGGGAAGTGAGATGGGAAGCATTTCCGTTTTTACGAGCTGCCAGTTCCATACAAGATTATTAAAATGATTTAGCGACATTAGAATTGATGTGGCAGTTGTATGGAATTTCTCTAATTGTGTAGATATAATAAACAATTAATATATATTTAAACTGGGAATTAAATCACTTAACACATTAATCATGGATAATCTATCTTAAAAATACTACAGTATTTGTAATAATTAGTTATAGTAGACGTCAGATTGAATAACAAATCATTTTTCCCGTGATTTACAGTCATACTAAACTAGTTAAAATTTTTTAATTCAAAACAATTAATTATATTCTCAATAAAACTATGGTTTTATACAAAATATATACAGCCAGTTAAGGATGTTCAAGAAAGTTTTAAGATAAGTTAATTTAATCTTCATTATCAAGAATTCAAGGAAGTCATGAAATGGTCACCCTAAACGATCCAAACATCCTTAACAATTACAACCAAGTTCTTTATATAAACTCATTCCTTTTTAGAGTTTGTTTTGCCTGCAGTTGTCAATCAGGCATAAATCACTCGTCAAATGCAGGGCCACATGGCAGGATGGATGGCGATATTGGGCAGGAGGTCCATAAATCAGTCAGAAAAACGCATTATAAAGGAACTATAAATATTTGTGTGTGATTGACGCCGACTGAACATAAAAGTGGAATTAAAAAGACGTAAAATTTTTACACATTTATGGGGAGTCAGCACCCGAAGCCCGGCTGATAAGGTCCTGGCCTGAATGTCGCACACCCAAGGAAAATGGGAGTGTGAGTGCCATCATAAAAAGCATAATTACGGGCATTTGTGCTAATGTGACTTTCTGGCCGCAGGCGTTGGCAAAACATTTCTTATCATGGCGGCAGGATGTGTGATGTGAGCGAGGATGTGGAAGTCTGGGGATGTGGATGTGGATGTGAATGTGGGTATGGATGTGGAGAAGGCATAATGCAGGCTAGAGTTAGACACCGAGGCAGCAGGCTGAGCTCTCGCATAAATCACTCATTATGAGGCGTAATTAATGCGACTATATGGCGACCTAAATTTTCTATAAATCATCAGATTAAACCCAATACGCCAAGCATTCATCGTTCCTCCAAAGAGCATTTGTATGATGTGGACTTCTCTGTATATATATGTTTGGTGGAATAGATAGCCTGAAATCTATTGGCAGCTTGACTGAAGCTCCGCCCAAGCTCATCCAGATGGGCTAATGATGTCATTCGGGGGAACCGGCTAATGTTTATGGGTATAATTAAGCCCCATCGGATGTGGCCCACAAAGCAAAGGATCTGGGATTAAAATGGATGCCATAAAAGGCAGTTCTTCAATTGATTTTAAAGCATTAAAAATGTACTACATTATTATCATATTAAGTCGTACTATAACTTTAATCACTATGACTTAAGTTAGTCAAGACGCAATAAAAAAATATCTTATATATAAAAACAGTAGTAAGTGTTCCACAAAGCAAAGGATCTAGGCAAAGGATTCTATATTTTTCATATCAACTGTTTTAGTGAGACAATAAAAAAAATCAGAAATAAGCAGGTTAGACACTTTTACCATTTCGTAAGAAACATTTTCTTAATTCTTTTAAGAACAAAAACAGTACATTTCTATCAAATAGTTTTGAATGCAGTACGAATCATTTCCATAACTATTAATCCGTCTTATGGGACCATCTATGGCCAGCTTATAGCCCGAATACCTAACGACTCCTTCAAACTGACCTCCACCCGGAGTGGCCAGCAACCTCACCCGGAATTCAGATTGGTGCTCATCTGCCAGGCGTCGCCATTTGTCAGCCTTGAGGACCCGATCCAGATATAAAGTTTGGCAGGGAGGATTATGGGTTAGGATAATCTTATTCAGATTACGGATAATTAGACGGGCTGCCCGAAGAACATATCCATCTGAAGTGGAGACATTTCTGCGATGCTGACACAGGCAAAATTCCGTGGGTATTTCCGCCAAGGTGCAGTCCCGATGGTCTGGTATGGGCAAGAATAGGCTAATACCTCGTGGAAGATTCTCTCCCAAGGCCCATAGGTCCACACTGCGCTGCTGAAGTTGTTCATCCTCGAGGGACGTAAGATTCGGCAAATCCAGAAGAGTGGCATGCAGATCAAAAGCTGTGACCAGACGATGATTGTTGATCTTCAAGTTGCCAATAGCTTGGGGATATCGCTCCTCCAGCCATCTGGGATAGCACAACATGGCCAGCGGCTGATTCTCCTCCACTTTTCCCTGCACAGTGTCGTAGAAACTACCCTTGTTTAACCCATGATTGGAAATCACCAACAGGAGGGTCCTTTTCAGCAGACCACTCTGGGATATAGTCTTGAACATTTTCAAAAATGGTTGATCCAACTTCCTACCATAGTTAAACAGGTGATCTATGCCCTGTGTCCACCAAAGGAAGGTGAAGAATCTATGGGTTTTGTGATGTGGAAGCATTTTGAATAGAAACTCCCTGAGCTCCTTGGCATAATTATTCTTCTCATTACAGTGGCTGTTGAATAGGCCATCAGTCCTGGTCTTAAGCCACATCTCGAGCAAAGCAGGTCGAAGATAAAAGTCCGTGGGCTGCTTTTCGAATCCCTTGGCAAAGATACTCTTGTCTATATTATCCTCCCCGAAAGCCGTTTCATAGCCGGCTTGCTGGAAAACCTTCCATATAAAGGGGCAACTATCCAGACTACTGAGATTCGAGGAGAAGTCCCTCATCTCCTGGCCACTCAATCCACTTAGCAAGGGCATCAGACTGTCGAAGGTGTCATTTCCTAACCGATTGAAGCCCTTGAGTTTCACATGCGGCAGGGATAGTAGAAAGTTGGCTGTACGAGCCATACTTCTAGAGAAATGCATTTCGGAGATGGAGTCCAGACCCACTATCAAAACGGACAAACTGCCGGCATGGGAAGCTAACTTCAGACGAGGAAGTCCCTGTGTATTCCGCAGCCATTCATCTGAAGGATGAACATAGAAGTGAACTCCATTATATATCCTCGTACCGTTGATAGAGCACTCGGCTCTTATGATATCCGCATGGGGCTCAATGGTATTATTACCATCTATAAGAAGCGGAAATTCCCGACTATACAAATATCGATTGTCATAATCGGTACTCCGCTCCACGGCATGATATTGGCACTTGAAGATCTCCAAACTCTCGATGTCATATCTCGCTTTTAGGAACTCCATATCTACCTCGGTCCTCAGGTAGTTATAATCACCATTGCTGAAGGACGTTAGGTCCAGTTCGCTGGAACAAAAGTCCTTCCGAAGGCCTCGCCACAGAAACAAAACATCACGTTCATTGGGAACCATGGTCAGCATGCGACAGCCCTTGGTGTTCACAGAGTACCTGTCCAAAAGGTGCTGCTCCTCAAAGATCAGATAGTCCACCATCACATCGTTATAATAGTAAACGAGAGAGAAGAATACCAGACTGTAAAAGAAACAGCAACGTATACTGCAGTAACACATTTTGCTTATTACTGTCGACTAAAAATTTATATTATTAAAGATCAACTCGAAATTATTGAAGATATCTAACGTACGACGATGATTCAGATCGCAGATGTGTTCAAGGAATTGCGGTAAGAAATGCCATACTTTTTCTAGTATTTATAAAAATGTGAAACCCTTATTTCTAAACATACAAAGTTAAAAAAGCCCATGTGATGCGAATTTGAATATTTAACCTAATATTAAGGAGTTCTGGAGAAGTTCTCCCGATTTATACTATAGGGAATCTTGATAAGGTAGGTAGGTTAAAAAAAAGGAACATTATCTTTTGAAACCGAGTTAACGTTTACAAGATTCAACTGAAACAATCCTTATTTAAATAGATTAAGGAAAACGTTTATGTATATAGGGACTTCAGAGAAAATGTGCTTGATATATCAGTATTCCGTCAGCATGGGCATTAAGTACAGTCATTACAAGAAATAAGTACGTCCCCCTTGCTTAATTTCTGGGCCACTTTTCGTAATTATTCGATTCAAGCTGAGCTCCTTTTTAGCCCGGCTCCTTTTGAAAATAACAATAAACTAAAAGGTCCACTCGTGCATAAAGCATTCCCATTCGCGTCCGGAGTTCCAGTCCACTCCAATCCTAGCCAGAATCAAAAAAGATGGCTGGCGGAGACCGAGGGGCCAGTGGCGTTAATTTATCACTTAACCTTCTTTAGCAGCCAAGTTTATAATTTCGATGGCGTCCATGGCCGACCCAAAGCGAGGATGACGACGAAGCTGGCAACTGCGGCACTTGAACGACGACTGCCCATCAGAGAAATGCCGGACACGGGGCAGGAAGGGGAATGGGGATGAGCCACTGAGAAAAACAACTTATAAATTAAAATTTGTAATTATGCAGACGCTTAAAATGCAGAGTATAAGGTCTCAGAAAACTCTTGGGGCTTTAATACTCTTCCAAAAATACATAAATGAATAATATATTTATAGATTCCCATAGTAGGAATATATAGATATGAATTTTTGTATAGTTTAAAAATATATTTCCCCACTTGTCAACTCCAAGAACTTCTGCTTTCCTAAAACAGTCAGTGTAATATGATCTGCTTTGCAAAAATACTATCAATGGTGTTCCAAAACTAAAGAAAATAATACAAATATTGTAGATTTCGATATATGTAGAATTCTTTTTTTGGTTAAAATTGTATTTTCCTATTTATTAACACCAAAGAATGCAACAAAAACCGTTGTCAAATTATTCTTTACAAATATTTCAAATAAAACAAAGATTAAAAGAAAGGGGTTTCAAAATTCTAAGTGTAATTTTTTTTCAGTGCATTGGTGCTGTTGCTGGAGAGCTCGAATAAAATAAAATAACAAACGGCTGCCGGGGTATATATATTTTTTCCCATTGTACATTTAGCCAACTGCTTCACCCTGATTCTGCCCCCCCTTTTCCCACAGTGACGTCGTCGTATTTCTTTGGCTTACGCATCAGCCCCATAGCCCCAGAACCCCCTTCGCCGTCCCAGCAACGCCGCTCCTGGTGTTGTCCTTTTTGTTGATGGTTTACGCTCTGGCCGGGCGCTCTTTGCAAAATGAAAATGCAAAAGGAATATTCATGAGGAGATTAGAATTATTTTTCGTGCTGTCATTTTCATTTTCACTCTGCCTTCTGCGTATTTCGTCTCGGAATGCCCTACAATGGGATTCATAAGGTCACAAGGCTGTAAGATCTGGAAACATTGCCATACTTATAAGTATTCATTTTTATCAACCTTTAAGGGGGCGATCTATAAACATATATTATTTTTTCACATTCCAAGAAAGAACCAAAAACACTTCTATCCATGAGAACTATTTTAGTAAAACTATCTAATAATAATAATCAAAAGCTTTTTAAATATGCATTTTAAACTAAAAGATTACTCCAATATTTTTCAAGAATATACCTTTAAACTTTATTGGAGTGAAGAATGAAGCTTATTGCTTCTAGAAATCTATCCAATAAAGTCGAAAAAAATTTTAGTTTAAATTCCAAATTAATTTTCCTGCAGAGTCACCGAAACCCAACAAATCCGAGTTGCTTTCTCCCAACTCCATTACCATTTCTTTTTGTTTCGAGCACTTGCTTGCTTTATTTTTTTTCGCTGAGCGCGAGAAAAAATATGATTTCTTTGTGCCAAAAGGGATTAAATTCACGCTCGTTTGTCCTGTTTATGATGAGTGGTGTTTGCTGCTGCTTTTCCTATATATATGTATACATATATAGAAATGGTGGGGGTTTTCTTTCTTGCATAAAAGTTTAATGATACAAACACCCAGGCACTGACATGAATCACCCGATGGCAGGCAGACATCGCTTCCCGGAGAGGAAAACCTTAAAAAAAAGAAGGAAAACACAAAACCACCCGACCAACGTCGCCGTCGCATTTAAAATATTTTTTGAAATTATTATGAAAATGCGTAAAGGGATTTAATAAATAACTGTAACTGCTCCTTTCTCACCCCCGAACCATACCCGCCACCCCCCTTTTTCCCTGCCGCTCATTTGCCTTTTCCCGCCATTGTACCGTAATTCATAATGTTGTTGTTTTTTCGGCGCTTTCCATCCAGTCTTTTCCTTTTTCTTGTGCATCTGTGTGGGATGTGCCCCTGCCTCTCCCTCTGCCACCCTCTATCGCTCCTGTTGCTGTGTGGAATTATGTTTTATCCTGAATTATGGATTTTGTTTTGTTGTTTTCTGTCAAAATCATATTTTGTTCGCTACCAACCCCCCGGCTAACAAACGCCACCCACCCAATCCCAATCCCAATCCCACACCCACTTGATAACCCAAGCCCGACTCATTTACATGCTGAAAATTTCGCTTCGGTCACACTGAAAGAAAATTCTAAGGGCGGTTAACAGTTAAAGATGTCTTTACTATATATAAACTCTTATCTGCGGTCATATACGAAATTCACATTCACATTTTGGACTTTGTCGAAAAATATTTTGAAGTCTATATTTATCAGAAATCTCTAATCAGGTTTAAGCAGAGTTTGAAAACATTTAGAATTGGTTGGAATATAATAGAAAGAGATTTCTGTAGCACTACGGTATCTGTAGTAGTGTGACCACAACCCTATAATATTAGAACCACTGGAATTTTTTCTTATTTCGTGGGTTGTTACAATGTAGATGTTTCCTGAGAGTCCGGTTGATTTCTTTATAAAATACGAAACGAATTTATTAATATCAATCACTTTGTATTAAATTCTTTAAGATCTGGAGGAATACAACATTTTCTAATTTTTTTTGAAACTGGTATAGTTTTTTTCTCTGTTAAATTTGTGGGTTAGCTCAGCTCTCAGCTCAGTTTGCAGCTACAGCCTTCTCCTCGCCATTAATGAGAATTTGTTTGTATCGACGTAAGTCGTAGGTCGAAGGGGGGTTTGAGGGGTGCGGGGTGGTCGGCAGGGGGATTCCTTTCCCACTTTGGTTTTCGGTTGGTTCGGCTGCTCAGTTTAGTTGTAAATTTACAACAACAAGCAGTCGGAGCAAAAAGTTTATCAAATAATTTCTACTTAATGTTTAGAATTATTTTTAGCCGGAAATTAGAAATTATGAAGAATATATCACACAGGACCAGAAGGACACGAACGCAGACCCCCAAAAACCCTGAAAGGAATGAATCATGCATCTCTGAGGCTTGTTACCATACCATATAATTGCCAGAAAACTAAACAAAGTCGTAAATTGTGCACTTAACGAAGGGAATTTACTTATTTCGGTTGTGTTTTGTTATTCTTAATTTAACTTTTGATAATTATTTGGGGTTGATAAAGAGAGTTATGTTAAGTACAGAATTTATTTTGTTATATAGGGTCTGTTCGTGTTTATTAATTTTGATTGGTAAAAATAGGACAAGAATTTGTTAATTGAAGAATTTTAACATCTTTGTTGTTTATAGACATTTTTTTTAAAATATTTTTTGGGTGTTTTAATATTCCTTGTCCTCAAGGTATAGGCTTCTTATCATTTTTAAGTATAAGTAATTTTTTCCAAACTAAAAAGTCTGTATAACCCAGTACATTTTTTTAAAGTATAAGTAAGTTTTTCCAACTAAAATCCCTTCTTAACCCAGTAAATGTATCCATCCTTCACTAGGATATCCACAAATCAAAGCATTTAATTGGATAAACACACAGCCTGTCGCATCTATCCAGCTTAAGGAACAACCATTTCGAGGACCTTCATTCGATTGTCGGTTCGGGGACATAAACAAAATATCAGGTGAGCCCTTGTGGGTGACAAATTAATGTGAAGCTCATTAACGCACTGAATGAGGATTACGGATTTGATTGAAGGTCCTCTGGGCATAAGTACGCCCACAGACGCAGTCAGGTTATATAAACTGATAAGGCACACACACTGTCGCTGCCTATATACAAACATTCATACCATATATATTTCGCCCCTATTTGCAGTGCGCAACAACAGCAACGGAATGGGAATAGTCAGCGAAAAGTGTCATTATGTGTACACATAACAGGATCCCGACTCCACCTACAAAAACCCCCCATCTCCATCCACTTCCAAAAACCCGGATCCGAAAGCCAGAAACGACACAACGACAACGAAACGACGGCGCAAACAAGGAGAAAATGTGTACATAAAACAATCTCGTTATGTCGGCATTATCCTGAAGAATTCTGGTTCGTCCTCGTCACTCGCAGCGCCATAAATCACTCACACGCTTGGCACGGCCCCCCCACCACCGCCCATGCTATCTGCGTCTCTGTCTGTGTCTGTCTCGCTCTGTCTTTACCATTGTCGTTTGTTCTGTGTGTTTGAGGCGCGTGTCCTGCTCTCATGTCGTCCTGCTCACACATAGACATAGGGCAGCGCCTTTGTTTTAGGGGAATCTTTCTATGCACTTTTTTTTCAGTGACCAAAACGCTTAATACACTTTACATAAAGTCAAATGATTATGAATATATAAGATATTTTAGTGTGTTAAATTCCTCAAATATGAAGATCCTTAAAAAAATATATTAATAGCAAAGGGTAAAACTGTATTATATTTATAGTATTAGCAGTGAAGTATTGAAGACTCTAGGAGTTTCTTTGAAAACATATTTTTACAACAAATTTGCTATTTTAATTTTTAATATAACTATTTTTG